AACAATCGATCATAGATTGATTGAGTGTGTCGTATCGTTACGTTTCGTTTACGATGCCGTATTCATATGCATGATCATGAACGCACACTTTAACAAATACCATACGTTTTGAGTGCCGTACATTTAATTACGTTGGATTATACTAATCTCATGAACACTCTTTAAAACGGATGAAACCGTATATGTTCATGAACTAAACCGAGAATGTTCTTAACATTTTCAAATGCCTAATGGGTGAATTAATTAAATCTAAGATGGCTCTGATACCAAATGAAAGATTAATTTTTATGATTTCTATAATGAAATCTATCCCAAGACCATAATCTAGATTTAGTTTTAATTCAACCCTAACTATTTCTCTAAGAAGAAGAAAGAGACACTAACCTTAATCCATACTTAATTTGGTTTGCTATTGGAATCAATTCACCAATTGATTTTCTCCTCCCTCTGGCCTTCAATCCTTTATGATTCCCTTTGATGAATAAAGGAATCCAAACCCTTCTAATCACGTTTGTTTTCTTTATGGTGGCTAGTACGTTTCTTGCGTAATAATTTTATTACCAAGACACACGTAGCTTTTCTTGTCTTTTCTCTCTTTTTAGTAACCACCACCAAACGTGAGTATATATATGTGTTGTTGTGCCTTTCCATTAATCATACCTTTTCCTTTATACTCTTACAAGCATAAACTCTATTTTATATGTGACTAATATATTGAAGCACAACTATAACACATATTTATATATATAACCATTATAGAAGAATCCATTTATAATTAAACAAGGTAAGAGAGGAGGGTTATCAATACACCCATATTCTAATTCTTTTATCGAAACCGATCCATCACGATATCGTCTTTTATATTAGAACCTAAAACATTAATATGAACTTGAAATTTATATTAAACCAATAGACACATAGGTCATACAGAATATACAATATTCTTACACACAAAGCCAATATTTTTGCTGGCAAAGCTGTTGTGTGGTTCCCAGAAAGCCAATATTTTTGCTGGCAAAGCGGTTGTGTGGTTCCTTTGTTCCTCTCCCACACCAAAAAGAATAGCCATGATGCTTCCAGGACCTGACGGAGACGTCAATATCAGTTTGTTTCTTACTTTTTTGATTTCATATCTGTTTTTGAATTTTAGTTTCATGCTTGTTTTCAATAAGAAATAAAAGCCTGTTTAGTAAATGTGACAAACATAATTCGTTAAGGGGACTTTGTTTTTCTGAATTCTATCTTTCAGAGAGAAAGTTATCTCTTGTTTGTAATTTCGATCTTAGTGGAATCTTGCTTCTGTTTTGATGGATTCTGATTTCGGCATATGTTGACTTTTTCTCTTTCAATGTTATATCTAGATCTTTTCTTATGTTTACTGTCTCAGATTTCTTTTCTTTTTGGATGTTAATGTTAAGATAACTCAGATTTCTTGTTCTCATCTTCTCCTTCCTCTCTGGTTTTCAATCTTTCCATTAATTGGCTGGATCTTTCTGTGTTTTGCTTGAGTTTTCTTTTTAGAATCTATGCTTTGTTTATTAGGCCTAGGAGATAGGATTAAGCAAAGTTACTCTGATTTTAAGAACTGAGTTGCTCAATAGCTGATTTTTTTAGTGCAGCTCAGCTGCTATATCATCTGAAGTTTATAGATGACTGAGTCATTTTCGATGAAATGATGCAAGTTTACTCAATCTCAGTGGTGATTTCAGAGAAGGGTAAATAAGATCACTCCAATCGTACTCGGAGCAAGCAGCGAACTGAAGCTTATACCTAGTGTTACTGAATTTTCCTAAAGTGGAGCTTTGCATAATGGTTGTGGTGTCTAGAATCGGATTTGGCCAAACAGATTTCCGGTGGTGAACTGCAAAGGTGTGATGGAGGGACGGAGATTCCAATAAAAGTACTTTGTGGAGATAAATCATTTTCATCTCATCTCTAGAGCTTCCATATACCTACACTTGTTGTATTTTCACTTGTCCTAATATTTATTGGGTTTTAGAATGTATTGGGCTTAGACTATTATTTGTAATGGACTTTTGGCCTTAGCAACGAATTGTTAGACTAAAAGCCATATAGAAAATCAATGCTGATATGTCATCCTCTCCTTGCAGTATTTGATGATGTGGCAATCTACAAAGAAGGAAAACCTTCTTTATATATATAGATAGATAGATACCCAATTGAGCATAAAATTATATCAATCTAAAAACGGCATAAAAACTTTCAAAAGCTGACATAGACTAACATTCTTAAAATTATTTCATTTTCACATTAAACCTTCAAATTGTCTTTTGTATCATAAAATATTTTCAACTTGACTTACTCATTCATAAATTCAAAAACGTGACATGTTGACCTATAAATAAGGAGACGCGTCAATTTTTTTTCTTATAATAGTTTTATGTATTTAATTAATATATTCAATTAATAAGAAATAAATATAGAACATAAATTAAAATTAGAAATATAAAATTAATAATCTATTTTTTTCTAATAAATTAAACCAATTTTTTTTTTTATAAAATGAAATTTTTGCAAAAAAGAAGATTCTTTTATTATTATTTTTTTAAAAATAATATAAAATATGATATATTAAAAAGTGGATTTTAATTTTTAATTATTTATTTTTCTATTTTAGTTGTTATTAATTGATTATATTAATTAACTACATAAATATTTTTTTAAAAAAATCATATCACCAATGACATTGGCGTCTGAAACCATTATTATTCATATGTGAGAAAAAAATATTTTTCTATCAATCAAGCTAAGAAAATTAGTATTCATATGTGAGAAAATTTATTTTTCAATCAATCAAGCTTACATTAAAATTCTACTATGTTCTATCAAAGTAAGCTACAAAAAAAAAATTCTGATGTATTTCACGTAAAATCTTTCATCTTTATTATTCTAATTTTTAAAATAAAAAAATCATCCATAGTATCAGATAAATTAGATAACTATAGATAAAATTTAATTTTTACTATAATTTTCTATTTAGATATTTACTTTTACTACAATTTTAGATGTATAGAGAGCTTTTACATACCTTGAGTAATTTGCATATCTAACACTATTAAAAGGGGAATATGAAAGCATGAGAAGCTGTCCACGTGGGGATAAATATTCGTCCAATAGGAACCAAGATTTCCGCCATGTCACTCCTTTCTCTCTCTCCTCGCAAATCTCCCTATTTTTCTTCTCTGGTTCTACGCTGTTTCATCTTCTCAACCGAAGTCTCTACATCTCTGTGCAATGAGGTTTGTTTCGCCTTCCTTTATATCTGAATTTTTTCACAGAATTTTCAACACTCTCAAACTCGAATTTTGCGATGACTTTGAACAGAAAAACCACCATCTCCGGCTATCTTAACTCCAAGCAACCAAACATAAATGACGAGCCGATCAAACATGGTGGCAAATCCGGTGCTTCCTCTGCCGAGCCGATGAAACGTACTAGAAAATCCGGTGGCTCATGCGCCGTACCGATCACACGTTTCTTCTTCTTATCTCTCTCTGTCCCTTGATTTTCCTCAAAGATCATATTTTTGGGTGATTTCAGATTGATTGTAGGAGTAGCTAGGTTTTGTAAACTAGAATCCTTTAGGAGTTAATTTGATTCATTCATCAATTCGATAGGAGATTAAAGAGGTTACTTAGAGCACGTGTTCTTCTTCTTCATTGAATTGAATTGAATTGAATTGGCGTTAGATACCCAGAATTATGAAAAAATTACTTTTTGATTGGAGATTTGTAAAAAAAAAGGATGAGTGGTTGGTGGGAAGTTCAAGCTTGGTCGAAAGCTTGGAAGTGGAACCTTTTGGTGAAATCTTTCCAGGTCTCGATTCTTCTTTCTCTATCTCTTTGTTACTTTGTTTGTCTTTGCTTTTCTCTAACCTCTGTTTCCTTCTTGTGAATTTGTCTTTGGTTCAGGGGTGAATGTAAAATCTGGAGATGAAGTTGATGTTAAGCTCGTAAGATGTAATACTTCAATTTCATTGTTGCATTTAAAGTCGATAATATGTCTCATCTTTTGTTGTTGATATATGATAGGAACCTCTTCGAAGTAGGCATCCTCAGCTTCATTACGAGTCAAAGATCTATATGTTTCTCCAAGGAGGATGTAGTTATTATAATCGATAGCTTCTAATCGATTTCTTTGCGTCATTGCATGAATATTCTGGAGAGTGGAGATGCTGTTGAATGGTCTGGAGAGTGAAGACACACATGTAGGGTTCATTTTTTGTAATCATGCACCGTCTATTTCACCAAAGTTAGGTTGATTACTCTGTTTGATCTGTTAACTGTTAATTTTCAGGTTAGAAGCAGAGAAAGAAACCCATAAGAAAACAAGCTAATTGATTCAATAAAACAATGTCAGAAAGAGTATATAGACCTAAATCTAAGGTACTTCTGGTTCTTTTGCTGTGACCTTTTTTTCTAATTCAACCTTATTAACTTTACGAGTTTGTAACAACATTAGGTGTGGTGGATGCGATGAAAAATTCATTCTACTTATAGACGGAAGGTATCACCAGGTAATGTTACAAATCATGACCATTCATTTCTAGACATTATAACATTCACATCCAGCAAAACTTGCAATGGAAGATGCAGCTTTTGTGAAACTGTTTGTCTGTTCCTGATGGAGCTCCAACGTGATCAGTTTCTGCTAAACAAACTCCATCTGAAGCCAAGGTTTGTCTGGTTTTTAGGTTTCAAATATGTTTTCTCTTATCTATCCCCTAAGCGTTTGTCTGGTTTTTAGGTTTCAAATCTGTTTTCTCTTATCTATCCCCTAAGCGTTTTTCTGTTATGTGAAGCTAGGAACGAAGTATAAGTTTGTGGAATTCCAATGACTAAAGAAGGTATGAGATAATTTATTATATGGTTCTATAATTGACATTAAATTTTAAAGTGTCAAGAATCCAAGAATCTGGCTATAAAAAGGATTTGTTTACCATCTCAAATTATTCTTGCTACTGATGGAAATTAGCGTAGCCAAGCTTAGCTGGCAAAGTTTCACAGCGTCTGGGCAAAGAAAAATGTTGGCGTGTCAAATGGCTGAAGAAAAGTGACAATGAACAATGCAAAGGAGGTCAGATGACTTTATACAACTTTTTTCATCGCTAAGTCGGTATGAATGACTCCAATATTTTTTTACTTTGATGAGTCTCTTAGGTCATTATGCCCATGGGACCTTATTAACCCAGTGAATCTGTTTGATATGCTGAGCCATACCCTATATAATGATTATTCCCCTTTTCAGATTTCTTAAATGAAATTAATGCTTGCTATCACCAAACTCATGGACACGACTTTGGTGTTTCAACCGGGTGGAAATCTTTTGCCAATTTATATAGTGTAATCATTGAAGTCATATTTAATTCTATAATACTCATGTAAACTCATCATCTGACATGATATTCTCATTTTGCTACTGATCAGGTTGTACCAGGGGAGTTGATGGTTGTGACAGGGGTTCCTGATTTCAAAAAGAATGAATGGATTTATGCTCTGTTTGCGATGAGGCAATTTTTGTCCTCTTCGGCAGAGAAGCACTGAAGCTGGTGATCGGAAGACAAGCGTTAGACGTCATGAATGAGATGCGAGAGGTAGGTGCAAGCAATAACCACATAACTACATTTCCATAAGACAATTCTTTTTTTTTTTTGTGATAAGCTGCTGATAATGTCTCCAACAAAGATGCTGCCATATCAACGCCGATGCAAATTACAAGTGAAGCCCACTCTTTAGTTTCAGTTCAACTCGCAAGACGCTAACGTTTTCAAGCATTTTTGCGACCCCTAACGGTTTCAAGCATTCTTGCGAAAGTGTCTTCTAGACATATTATTAACTTATTATACATCATCTGATTTAGTTATTAACTTATTACTGAAGAATATATATTCATAAAAGTTTAATCACTTTGATATATTTAAATATGTAAATTTTGAAGACCAATAGTTATTTAGTATTTAGAGGATGAGGTTAAGTTTATAAACTTCTATAAATATTTTATAAATGTTTCTTAAACATTTTTAAATGATTTAAGAGAATTAGTTTAGTTTTATTTTCATAACAGATTTAAGATATTAATGATTTTTTTTTCAAATGAATTTTAAAATGTATCAAAATTTATGGTAAAATTAGAAGTTCTTTAACTTAATAACATTTAAGTATGTAATATGTTTGTTTGTACATGAACAATTTAGTATATATGATACATTATAAGGCACATGAGTTATATTTTGGTCGTTTTAAGTATCTTATAAATATTTGTACTATTTTAATACAAAATATCAAAAATGAATAGCTGGAAGCAAAATCACAAGGTGAATCTTAATTATTGTTTTTAATAAACTATAATTTGATTTATACTTACCAATTTTGCGATTGTACTATAAAAGATGTTGATTAACACAATTTTTTTCCTTAACTAGATTTTGACCCGCGCTTGAAAGCGCGGAAATTTTTTATGATTAAACATTTATATAATTGAGTTTTGTCTTAATTTAAAGAATATTTTGATATAAAATCAGTTCACCAAAATTTGTGGTGATGATTGTTTTTCATTAGTTTTTAGTTTCAGTTTTTATTTTTAGATTTTGGTTTTTGGTTTTTGGTTTTTAGTTTTTAAGTTTCTACTTTTCATTTTCAGTTTTTGGTTTGGGTTTTTAATTTTTAAACCCGCTGAGTTAGTTTGAACTAATATTACCAACAAACAAATATCAAATAATCGAACATCTAATTTAAAACTGAAAATATGATAACAATTTTTTAAAAAAAAAAATTGAAATAGTTTATTTTGTAAATAAACAAAGCAAAAAAATATAACATGTGCTTTAAACTTTTGGTTTTGAATTTTTGTTTTTAGATTTGGTTTTTGGTTTTGCTTTACAATTTTTTAATCAATAAATTATTTAAGAAAAATAAAACAATAAATTATTTAAAAGTTACCATTGAAATTTATCAAAACAAAGTGATTGTTATTTAAAATAAAAAAATATATTAACATTTTTTAAAGTACATGATTTAAATAAATGATTAATAATAGATATTTTTATTTTGTTAAAAATATTAAATACCTTTTGGGTCTGAAAATAATAATTGATTTTTTTGATCTTTTAAGGTGAAAAGTTTATTCAATGTTTTTGGAGTTTTTTCTTAATACTAAGCCAAAAAACCAAACTATATAATTTGTTCAAAAAATAAAAGTAAATTCTAGACTATATTCCATAAATAACCACTGGTTTAATTTAAGTATAATTAGTAGATTTCCATATTTCATATTTTGATGATATATATTCTTTTAGAACATTCCATATATGTAGGAGATATGTGTTTTTGGTATACACATAGATATCTGTCATATTTTGAAGGTAGTTTACATTAAGGCTCTTTACATTAATTGTGTCGGTTTAATTTAAGTAATACGGTTCAATCAATTATATGATTTATATTATTTGTAACATTCTAGAAAATGTTCAAATTTAAATGACAACTTGTATTAGTAGATTGAAAGAATGACTCTATTTTAATAGAGTAGATGGCCGGGGGGGGGGGTCAATAGAATAATTGACGTATACACAAATATATAACAAACATTTGGTATCTAATATCTACAATGTCTTCTATTTTCATTCTTGGAAAATCAAAAATTAGGAACCTCATAAAAAACTAAAAATATTTGAGAAATAATTTTTAGCGGAGAACAAAATATAGAAAATAATATGTTATAGAGATATTTACTCTTCATAACATAAGAACCTCATGAAGTGTTTAATTGGTAGAAGCTATGGATTTAATTACTTTGCTTTATAATATACTAGGGTAAACCCGCCCTACGGGCGGGCGAATATATATAATTTCTTTTTAATGTTTAATTTATTTTAAGTAAAAGTAGTATTAACATTTATATTTTTTTTTGAAAAATTTAACTATTTATTTTACTATAGCATTTTAAAATATAATTATTTATTGTTAAAATATTTATTGTAGTCTAATTATAACTATAAATCAGTAGATCTTCTTAAAGTTACAGAGATTGGAGTTATTAGTAGAGTAAAATTATTTTTTTCTCAGTTATATACTGTTTGATAAATTAAATGATTTTTTATACATTTTCTTAAAACTTGATATAAAAGAAATAACATATTCCTTATAACCAAAAATATTTTAAGATCAATAAATAGATATTATGAAACTAATCTAACATGTATTTGTGCAGCATCCTGATATAGTTTGTAACTTAAGCTCTTGTCCTCTTATCTCTACCTCACATTAGGAGAAAATCTCTACAATTCACTTGTTTGGATGATCATTTTCTTCTTATCACTTATTCATTATAACTAAAAATAGTTTAAGATAGATAAATAGATAATAATAATATGAAACTATCATTGCTATTTACACATTACATGTTTGTTAGAAGCTTACAGGTATTATTATATATTAAAAATTTTGATTAAAATTTTTGAAACAAATATTTGTCACTAACTTATAAAATAAATTCCTAACAATTTTACTATACATAATTAAATTATTTTATATTGATTGTAGTTTATTGTTGAAATCAATTATTGATCTATAAAAGGTGCTATCTACAAACTATCTGAGAAAGAAGCTTATGCTATGCTTTGCAAATGACCCTATCAATTACAATGTATGATGAATCTAATGTTGAAGTAAGCTAGCCAGCTTGTGATCGTGCATGTACTTGAGAGATAGAATTTTGTTTCTCATAGCCTTGTTGACTTTTCTCTGCATTTGATCTATTGCTGTCAAAACGTGTTGATGTCTCCTAGCATTCCTCTTCCTCCAGACATGATTGATTATAGTGTAAAACAACATTTTAGTCAAAACAAATCTATACTATGAGTCCGAGTGCCTCTCAAGTGCTGAATAGTCCACTGTAAATTCAGATTGATGATTTTGTTAATTAGAATCTATATATGTTGTAGTAGGTGAAGAAGACGTTTGGTATTGAATTATAATTATTTAGTAAATTTTTATTTGAAAATATGAGAAATATAAATTTATACCATCTGCAGTCATCTCCACACGATATGTAGAACAAAATATATAAACGGATGACTATACACTTGACTTAGTTCCTTGGCGATATAATTAGAGCAATACAGTAGAAGAACTCTCTAGTGCCTTTTTTTAGCTAACTATATTTAAACTTGAGAACCAAACAACCTAGAATCTCTCTGAAGCAGACTACAAATCATGGATGGAAACCTCTCACCCTGTTTCAAGTAAAGGTTGGTAGCATTCATCATATGTGTGGTCGTTTCAACAAAAGTTTCTACATGATCAGAACCAGTCGAGACTCAGCCTCTTGCCCTGCATTGTCCTCTGCAGCCTGAAAACAACAGCAGAAAGTAGAGCTGCCCAATCTGCAGCCTGAAAACTATGTAAGCATTCAGAACATCACCATATCTGATTTCAGGCATGTGAGACACATCGTCATTGAAGCTGCGCACTTGTCCTATATGGCAATATCAATTGCTCGAGGATACCAACACACTGCATTTTTAACCAGTAAGCAATGTTAATACAAATGAAAGGAGTAGAGAACTCTCAAGTCACATGACACAAAAGATATATAGTTTGAGTCCCACAATGGCCAAATCAGTCTCTACAGAAGTTGATAATGAAACTGATCTAGAAGTCGTGATCTCACACCTAGTCAACATACTTTTATAAAAGAAATTCGTGGATGCTTCTAGCGATTAACACACTAATCTTAGGATTTCAAACAAATTAATCAAAAAATCTCGTTCACTGAAAATTCTAGAATTAAAGATACAACACATGTCCGATAGTAGGAGATTCTTGATGGCCGTGATGATTTTCTTACAAATGTAAAAATTAAAACACAGCAAGAAATACTAAGATGAGTATGTTCGCCGTGATTACCTTTCTTATCAAGGAATAGCATGTCGACACACATTAGCTCGCCGCCTCCCTCCCAAAATCTCAGAACTCAAACTTTCTATGATACAACTTCCGGGGCGAGAAACACCTAAGGAGGCGTTTAAGAAAAGAGTTTGCAATTTTAATCTCTGTAAAAGTGTAAGAAATATAAAGATTGTGAAAAAGAAAGCATCATCAAAAAAGGTATTCAATAAATAAATAAATCAATTGAAGAGAGTTTGATATTTATCAAGAAGAATCATGAGATTGAGAAACTTAAAAAAAAAAACAATGAATCCATGAGATTGAGATCGGGAAACCTCCGCATCAAGAAGAATCATGTCCAACCCCACCAACACGAATCTCAGCAGTTTCACTTCCACGGTGGAAGAACGGTGGTCGGCCTTCAAATCACGGAGAAGAACAAATGAGTTAGCTATAATACTACAATTAAGTTTTTGAGATTATCGAAACTGTGAGGACGATAATCAAGGAACAAAGTATTACCTATTTATAAAAGGAGAAACACCGCCTTTTAGATGGAATTAAATTAAATGAGAGCATCGTGCCTGAGGACGTGGATGGAGTTAATAAGAGCCTTGACTCAATACAGCTCGCAACGTCTCTGAGGATTCATTCAT